CAGTTCCACAATAGAGAATGTTGAGTGGACTGGACTTGTGCTCTGATTCAGCTGAGTGATTTGTTGATCTGAACCAGGCCTTTTGTAGTCTTTCCCACTCCTCATCACTGATTCACATGACAAGCGCAGAAATTACAGAAGAGGAATTTGTGTCTGTTTTTCTGCATCACGTCTAGGAATGGAGTGCTGGAGTTGTTGTATCGGATGACCACTCTCCAGGAATTTCCATAAAGTCTAAAAGATGACCAAGAAATCAGTTTATATTTATTACATTTTTTTTAAAATCATTTTATGACCACAAACCTAATTTTATTTCCACCATGTAATAAAACATAAAAAGATCATTTTGACTTTATCTCACAACTCTGATGAGTTTATAACTCACAATTCAGAATATAAATAAATAAACAGTATATACACAGTACATACATACACACATTCTGTTACAGGGCGAACGAGATGTGAGACGTGCGGATCCATACGCAAAGTTTTATTCATAGACATGAATCATGTCATAGACAGGCAGGGTCGAGCATCAGCAAACAGAAGACAAGACAAAGAGTATTCCTAGGGCTGGCATAGGTCATCGATCGGCGAACAGAATCCAGAGGGCTTGACAAGAGTGGTAATCCAGAAACATGAGCAATAGTCCAGACGAGGTACAAACAGAGTCCGAGCGGCGAGACAAGGGTTAATCCAAGATACACAGGCAGGAATAAAGAAACAGGAAGCAAGGCAACACGAAATGACTAGACTAAACTAGAACTAGAAACTAGACTCCGTAAAGCAGCAATCACTAGGTGAGTGATAAATGCAGAACAATACTCGGCGATCTGAACAAGGAAGTCCAGGGCTTATAAAGCGTGTCTGATTGGATTCAGGTGTGTGTGTAATCAGTGCAATGGATGATGTGAACTGTAGTCCGGAGTAACATGCAACAGTCTGTGTGGTGTGAGAGTCAATATGATGAAGAGGCGACCTCTTGTGGCAGTCGGATGGAAGTCTATGGACAGAATTCATGACACATACACACATAAAAAATATAAAAGAATTAAATATATATATATATATACAGTAAATAAATATATATATATACACAGTATATACAGTATATATACATACATACATACATAAATAAATAAATAAATAAAAATTGTATTACAATTGAGTTATGCAACTATAAGATATATATGAAATTTTGAGAGAAAAAAGGTCAGAATTGTAAAATGAAAAGCCGGAATTACCTTTTTAATTTTTCTTCTGTTACGGAATGAAGCTTCCATACAAGCCAACTCGCAACTTCCTAATGATAGGCCTAATAATAAGGTTTGTCCTTCCTTTTGAGCTGCAGAGTCTGCAGTGTCTGTTTGTGTGTTACAACATTGTATGTAACTTAGTGTTTGTAATTGTTTTGTCATTTATATCTGTAATATACACTGACATGCACTGTGTCTCAGGTATTTTATTAAAAGTCAGATTCTCCTCAAGGTCACTTCACATATAGCAAAGGGTCCCTGGAGATCAGATATCTAAGTTTATGATTTGCTTTGTCTATCAAATCAATCAATATGATTTCAACAATCAAGTAGTGTACAGTTGTGTAGTTACTCTGCTTGAGAGTGCTATATGATGTGCTATATCAATGTTCAAAATGTGCTTCTTAATATTTCTGGAACCTGCAGTGATTTTTTTTTTTTCAGGATTCTTTGATGAATAAACAGTAAAAAGAACAGCATTTATTCAAAATAGAAATCTTTTGTAACAATATACACTACTGTTTAAAAGTTTGGGGTCAGTACTTGAAACTGAAAACTATAGTAATACCTGATGAAAATTCAGCTTTGCCACCACAGGAATAAATTATGTTTCGAAGTATATTAAAATAATTATTTTAAATTAATATTTCACAATATTACTTTTTTACTGTCTTGATGAGCATAAGACACTTCTTAAAAAAAAAAAATCTTACTTATCCTTAACTTTTAAACAGTATACACACTAGGGATATGCCGGTACCAAATTCTCATGTTGCGATTAATTGCTAATGCTTTTATCACGGTATACGGTATTATCACGATATTGAAATTTAGTTTAAAAAAAAAGTGCTGTCATAATACAGTATAACAGATTCACGGTATTTAGAAGTGCCCACGATAACAATATCGTGCATATTCATTACCGTGATATATCGCATTACCGAATACCGGCACAAGTCTAATACACACTACATGAACTTACCAGACAGATGGTTGTCCAAAGACATAGCAGCAAAAAGCAAATGCAACGACATGTTATCCTGTGAACTAATAAGACACTATAATGAGTGAAAATTTGCAGATGCGACCTTAAGGAGTTATTTGATTTGGCCATTGGTGTTGGTTTGTAGGTTTAAGTCATATTAAAACACAAACAATGTATTACATCTAAAAGTAAAGAAAGTAAATAAAACCTCAGTCAGGGTCATGGTATGATTTATATTCTAATCATATTCAAAATAAGCTCCCCATAAGCTGCTATTTACCTAAAGAATCAGGTGTGGGTGGAATGAACATCCAGTGCTTTACTTCTTTTTAGGATACATTAACAAGTATCATGTGGAGTGCCAGTCCTGCTGCTGTGTGCATATTCAGAATTATATATATTTTTTCGTAAGTACATGTTGAATTCTATTAAATTATTTCATAAATTATTTAAATAGACTTTTTAATCATTAAAAATCATTCTACAATTATGGTTATACAACATAACATTCCAGTACTCATATTTGATTGAACAAGCGGCATTCAAAAGTGTGGATATTTTGTATAACAACACTGGGATATTTCACGGTTTCTTTTTGTCACCTCTAATTAGGTCTTCAAATAAAATTTTATTTTGTGAATCTTTAGGTGTGTCCCAGTTTGCATACTTATGCACTATTCTACAGTATGTCTTTTTTTTTTTGTATAAATAATGTGAAGAGCATGTTTACACTGAAAATTCCAAAAAGAAAAAAGTACACTTTAAATATCCAGATGATACACTTTCTTAACTGAAAAACCAAAGTGTATGATGTTAGACACTTCATGCAGTCAACAGCTGGACTATTGAGCGGGACTATCAGGCTCTGATGTAAGCTCAGCTCATAACTATGTAATGACTTGAATAATTAATAACTATAAACATTAGGGTGCAGTGGAAGCATGACAGAAACCAATTGCAAACATGGCAAACAATAAGCGTGTGTGCAACAGTGTGTCTTTTTTATTGCAAACTTAATTTGAGTGATTGCAAATTCAAGACAAAGTGGCAATCAAACAACTTGGACCCAATGCTTTTCAGACCGCTTTTATCAAATCAGACCATCCAACCTAGTGGTGTTTCTCATAATTCATCTGTCAGACTGATTGCATTGCATTTAGCATACTGTTTGAAACATTTATTGTGGAATCATAAATACGGTTCTGCTCATTTATTTATTATTTCAACAAGATATGAGTTGAGTTAGTATTCTATTCCAATTATAGCCCCAGGTTTTGTTAACCTGTTTGATTGCTTCATTGGGAGAGAGAAAAAGAGAGAGAAAAGTGAATAATTTATAAATTGCACATTTGATTCTAAATTGCTTAAAGAAAATACTTGATGACTTTAAATAAAAATAAAAATGGGTGAGCAATACAGCTTAAGTAATTTCCTCTTAAAGTTGAATTGTATTGATTAATATCATTGACAGTAGAATGGAAAAGAATATGGTCATTCACAAGTAACTTATCTGGTGGTCATTAAACTTGATAAAGAATGAATAAACTGACAAATGTATTCTGCTTGGTTTAAATACTTTCTTATAGTGTTGTGTTTATATGCCTGCAACTGCCTGACAATTGTTTTGGCATTTTGAAATTTAATTAGCTATTATGGAAGACTAGTCAAAAAAAAAAATCCCAGTTTTAGTTTGGAATCAATTCCCTATACAGGTATAGGCTACTATTGTAAATCATGACAAATGATTTGGTGATTCACAGTCCGTAAAGGATACAAGAGTTCTGGTAATAATTTTGCAATATCCAATAGCATAAGACTCTAAGAAGTCATTGAATAATAATAACAATAATAATAATAATAATAATACATTTTATTATTTTCTTTAGGTTCAAAATTGTGACAGAAATTCCAGTAGGAATCATGTTAAAATTCCATTATTGTGACTAGGGAAAAAAAAAAAAAAAAAAATGTGATTTATAATTCCCATGTTTTTAAGCGACACTGTCGTGCAGTTTTCTCGTTCACAGCCGTGTTCACTTGTTTTGCTGTTCACTGCAAATAATGTGGTGGGGGGAGTTTGAAGTGGCGAAAGCACCGCTGCATTTCCACTGGTTGTGGAGAAGGGGAGGGTCTTTATTACCCCCAGACCGAGACTGAATCAGTTCAGAACAGTTGGAGCCGGAGACAGACGCCTCATCGGCAGAAACAGACGCGCATCACGACACGCGACTGGAAAACAACGCCGGCGGATGTTTGCAAAGTAATGAATGCATCCTGGCCGCATTCACGACGCTGACGCGGTTATAATGTTTTAATGATGTCTATTCCGCTACTGTAGTGTTTCTCCATCTTCGCAGGAGCCACATTATAGGCAATCTCTGCCTAAAAGGATTTCTCTAACGGTCGCTGTTGATGGATGTACAAACGGATATGATATTGTAAACGTGCGTGATATTTTTTTCTGAATTCTGAGGGGAGATTCTGCGCACTGCAGTAAGGCTACATTCAGCAATGCACGCGATTGGACTGTGGATGTGATGGATATTGAGTGTTTGTCGGCAAAAGAGATCACATTTGGGTTTTCATTAAGAACAAAGTTTGCTTGCATGAAAACATCATCTCCCATCTTCTCAGGAGCCACATTATAGGCAATCTCTGCCTAAAAGGATTTCTCTAAAGGTCGCTGTTGATGGATGTACAAACGGATATGATATTGTAAACGTGCGTGATATTTTTTCTGAATTCTGAGGGGAGATTCTGCGCACTGCAGTAAGGCTACATTCAGCAATGCACGCGATTGGACTGTGGATGTGATGGATATTGAGTGTTTGTCGGCAAAAGAGATCACATTTGGGTTTTCATTAAGAACAAAGTTTGCTTGCATGAAAACATCAGTTGAATTAATAGCGTTTGTGCAGTTCCTCATCCAGTGTGACTGAGTGGTTCAAAGCCACTGTATCCTTCAACAGATGAGAAGCAACCAGTTCCTACAACTTCAGTTGCCAGCACTAGGGGAAAAGAATGGTGTTTATGGCAGAAATCTCAAAACATATCGAAATCATCCCACAAAAATAATCACCCAGCCTGGAATCGTAATGAAAGTGTTGCGGAGAAAAAGAATCATACTGTTTATAGCGTATTTTCTGCTGTTAGTTCTTACCATGTTGAACTTGGCTAACTACAGGTGGACTAAAGAACCTCAACAGTGTAATCTCCAGATGAGAAGCATTCCATATCAGGACAGGTCAGACATTCGATTCCTTTACAGACCATCTCTTGCTAAGAAGAGACAGCTCGTCTATGTTTTGACCACATGGAGGTCTGGCTCATCCTTTTTCGGAGAGCTATTTAATCAACACCCAGAGGTTTTCTTTCTGTATGAACCGATGTGGCACATCTGGCAAAAGCTGTACCCGGGAGATGCTGTGTCCTTACAGGGAGCAGCAAGGGACATGCTAAGCTCACTGTACCGCTGTGATCTTTCAGTTTTTCAGCTGTACAACAGCCCTGGGGGCAAAAACTTCACCTCCCTTGGACTTTTTGGGGCCACACTTAATAAAGTCATCTGCTCGTATCCTCTTTGCTCCGCTTATAGGAAAGAAGTGGTTGGGATGGTGGATGACAAAGTGTGCAAAAAATGTCCTCCACAAAGCCTCAGGCTCTTAGAGGAAGAATGCCTTAAGTACAACACTATAGTCATAAAAGGGGTCCGGGTTCTGGACGTTAATGTTTTGGCGCCCCTTATGGAGGATCCGTCTCTGGATCTCAAGGTGATTCACCTTGTGCGAGATCCCAGAGCCGTGGCCAACTCCAGGATCAAATCGAGGCACGGGTTGATTCGTGAGAACTTGCAGGTGGTTCGAAGCAGGGATCCCAAACTGCGTCGGATACCCTTTGTGGATCCTGGCCACAAAATTAGCAAAAAGGACGGAGCAGATTACCATTCGGTTGGAGCTATGGAGGTGATATGTGATCGGACGTACAGGAGCCTGTGGACTGCCTTAAATCCGCCCAGCTGGCTGAAAGGGAAATACCTGGCGGTGCGCTATGAGGATCTGGTGGAAAACCCTGTCAAAACGCTCCGGAATGTTTATCAATTTGCTAATCTCAGTGCCAACCTTGACATCGAGTCTTTTGCTCTTAACATGACGAATGGCACAAGCTCTTCCTCAAAGCCATTTATTGTGTCTGCCAGGAATGCGACACAGGCGGCCAGTGCATGGAGAACAGTGTTGAGTATTCAACAGATAAAACAAGTGGAGGAGTACTGCCATCATGCAATGGCAATCCTGGGTTATGAACGTGTGAGAACAGCTGTAGAAGCAAAAGACTTGAGTAAATCTTTATTGACTGCTTCCAAACTGTGACAGAGTTCCCTCCCCAGAGAAATGCCCACCTGAAACGGAGCACCAACTCTTTATGGAATGTCATAGCACTTTGTGGTCATTCAATAGCACCCTTACTTTTCTAAATGGACCTGTAGATGTTTGATACAGCAGCATCTTTGAACCACAACTGGAAAATGTATATTGTACAAACCAAATGTTGCATTGCCCTTTTTTCCCCCAAAATGGATGCTTAAGGTTGTTTGGAATGTTCTAGGTCTGTTTTTGAGTTTCAATTAATTTGCTGTATGTAAAATTGAGAAATGAAAATGGAAAATGAGCAAAAAAAATACTGATCAAAACTGTTATGTGGAGTGCAGGTAATGCTGTTTCTTTAGAATCAATTTAAAGACAATCATTAAAGTTCACAATCTCCACACTTTATGAATGACAGTGTTGTGTGTTATGTAAATAAAAACCTAAAGTAATGCGTTGAACATTTTTTTAAATACTTTAATTTTACTGCTTAGTTCCTGCTGAATTTGTCATGAAAGCATTTGATTCCACTCAAGTCTGCTTTTATCATAAATACAGGAAATTTATAGCCACAATTATTGCATTTAAGTAAAAAAAAAAAAAAAAAATCACTGCAAAAATAGTTCAGAAAAGTGAAAGTAGTTCTGAGAAAAGATCTATAGCTGCATCTGCATTCTATGGGACCTCGGTTTACAACCTCCATGTTTTATATTGGTAAAAAATATAATACAGTATTGATCTGCTTTTGCTATTCAGAGATGTGAATGGGAGTGAGAGAATACCAAAGCTATCAAACATGAATTCAAACAGGCTTTCACTGGTTTATCATTGATTGGTAAATTGTTATACCATGACACTAGTTTACTATTGAGTAAATTGGCTGATAATATAACTACTGTACAAAGGGTTAACCTAGGAACTGTAGTTACTGAGAGAACATCAACCTGAATTGTTCAATTGTGGTGTCTATCTGCAAAATTGTTTTCAATGGTAAAAATCCAAAGCAACAAGTAAACAATTAACCAGAATGAGACAATTGTCTTTCCAGTTTGACTGTGGAATTATGTGAAGTGCCAGATTTTATGCAGATTTTAATAATTTCATGCAAATTGTCCCTTTAGCACCCTTTAGTGCATGCTGGGAAGAAAGCAAATACGACTAAACCATCGATTTTCAGCCTATTGTAAGAAGAAGAAAAAGAAAAACAGATCAACTGATCAGTGTTTTTATGTTTTTAACAACAACAACAACAACAAAATCTATAACAATAATGCCAAAGATATACTTTTAAAAATCACAATGTAAAAGAATAGCAAAGTTCACATCTATAATGGAACAGAGGAACAATGTTGTTGAAATCACTTTCAAAGCATTTTCCCCCCAGCAGTTGAATGATAAAATTATGGATTAAGGATCCATAATTATGGATCTGCTTAAGCATTTAAAGCAGCAGATGACATAACTACTCTTGAGCTATTGTGTTACATGTATCATTACAATTATTGTTCTCAGTGTACACAGGCCTTTACTTGTGTTCCTGAAAGTTGCAAGTTGTTATAATCTCAGAACAGTAAGTAAACCAACAACTAGAACAATCAGGTATCTTTGGCCCAAATTCATTGGCAAAGCCTACCAAACAACATTTCTGTTCTCAAGTTATTTTCAACATGCATTTTACTGGCAGTAAAAGAAAAGTGAGTATATCTCTGGACAGCACATGTTCAAGTGGTCATGATAGCTCTCTGGATACTAAGGAGAAACAAGGGCTATTGTCTTTCTTTTACCATAGGCAGTATTTTTTTCAGGGCCATTTGGGACTGTTTTACAGCTTTCATATTTTTCAAAATGAATCGATGTGGTTTAGAGCCCTGTGTAATTGGCCTATGGGGTTCTGTTAGAAACAAACAGGAACTAAACTTGGTTGCAGCGGCTACAAACACATGCTGCATCAAATTAAGGCGTGTTGTACTCAGGAACATGCTTGCGCACAGTCCATTCCCCATGTACATCATAATGACCGGGTACCATAGCATCTCTCTGCTTGCCTCTGACGCTGTCTTGTGCAGTTGCCATGACAACAGCTCAAGGAGGTGCAGATATTATTTGTGTATGAACTGAAGCTATGGGAGCAAGGTGGTGTAGACTCAACCTTATAAGAAAGAGAGACAAAAACAGAAATTCTGTTTGTATGCACGTTTGTTTAATTAGCAGGTATATGACCCAGCTACACTTTTGGTGACATTATCACATGTGGGAATTGACTATGTGGTGACTGAATCATGTAGTTTATTTGCACCATGCATATGATGTTGAATTGGACTTGCTGTATAATGACAGGAAGATACAGTAAATGTATTCAATTACATGTCAATTTTTTCTTGATTTTTTTTGTTTGGTTGGTTGGACACATTTCTCTAATCTGTGTTATACTGTCAAATCAGTTAAAACTGCAATCAGATTTTATACCCCACAAACATTTTTTGTTTCAAAATAGCTTTATAATATCATACAGAAACATTATAATTTGGAGTACTTTAGACCAATCTGGGACATTAAGTGTTCTTCTCACATGGAAGAACTTTAGTTATTCTATCAAAAATATATATTTAAATTGAATGCAATTTTGATGGCATTTCAGTTATTAATGTCATCTAATGTTTTGTGGAAAAACGCCACATGCTGAGTGTATATATGTTTTTAAAAATGACACTTAGCCATTCAACTTTAATTCTGCTGTTATGGAATGTGGACATGAATACAGACTGAAGCAGTGAGAAGATAGGTGGCCAATGCCCAGAGATGAATGTGCGAAGTGGATTTGTGGGGTGCGTTTAGTATGTGGTACATACTGGAGACCTTGTGGACACCCCAGCGGAGCAGCTTTGGAGGCATTGGAGGAGATGGGTTGATCACCACTGGACAGGGTTTACAAATAGAATGGATGGCAAGATGGGTTTCGACTCTTCAGTAGATTCCTCAGGAGCACTGAGATGGGAAAGAGCATCTGCCTTAATGTTCTTGGTGCCTGGACTATAGGAGATAGAGAAATTGAAATGGGTAAAAAATAAAACAGTGAATGGTTCTTGGGCACCCTCCAACCAATGCCTCCATTCTTCGAGCGCAAGCTTGATGGCTAGGAGTTCTCTGTTGCTGATATCATAATTTCTTTCCAGGGTGAGTTTAAAAAAAAAAGGCACATGGATGGAATCTTGGAGGCTTTCCCTGCTTCTGAGACAGTATCGCTCCTACCCCAGTGGTCAATGCATCAATTTCTGTGATGAAGGGTTTGCTGTACCTACGCCCCTGCCGCCATGGCAGCTGGAATCCAGGACAGAGACTTGGGCTTGTTTCTGTTTAGATTTGTCAGTGGACTAGTAATGGAGCTGAATGGAGCATCAGTAGAAGTTTGTGATCCCTAGGAAGCGTTGCAGTTCTTTTATGTTGGTGGGTGTGGGCCATTTTTTAACGGCTTCAACTTTCCCCTCATCCATCTGGATGCAGTTTTTGCTGATGTTCTAACCAAGGAAATGTACTAAGAACATGAAAGGATAATTTTTCGGCTTTTAGGAACAGATGTTATGAAATAATGAAATACATCTTGGCTCGCTCTGTGATAAAGCAATACGGCTGCATTTCTGGAGAATAAATCTATTGTGATGATAGCAGGTGGAGTGGTTGTGGAAGTGCTACATTTAGCTACATTTAAGTAAACAAATTTTGCTGAAAATTAATCAACTAAATTTGTTTATCTAAATGTAGCTAAAATAAATTGATTGCAACCACTGTGGAGCTGTGGTGAGGACTCGCTTGAGGGTATCCATGATCTCCTAAAATGGGCCCAGGGGAGCTCATAATGTTGACAGTTCTGTTCCGGTCTTCTGTTACAGAATGTGGACACGGTCACAGACTGAAAAAGCAAACAGGCTTTTAGTGACAGGTATGAGCAATGGCAGGAAATGGCAGGTAATGACAGGTAAATAACAGTTCTATGTTGGAGACTAATAGATGATAAGAATGTAAACCAGACTTTCCTTGTTGGCAAGTGCAGGAGATCATGGATGGGGAAACAGATGGAGAGTTAGCACACACTCCATCATACGTGTAAGTATCCAGGTAATCTTGAACAAACAATACAGGTAACAAAAGGGAGGGAAGACATGCTAAAGGGAATTGCTGGAGATATTCGCTGGGGGATCAGGAGAACAGGTAAGCAATCCTCAAATGAACAAGACCGGACAATGAGGTCAGACGAGGTGTTTACTTAAGTAGCATGGGTGAGGGAGTGCACTGTGATTGGGTGAGTTCTGAGCCTGGCCGATCCGTGACATATACTTTCTTATAATGAAATTAACTTTGCAATTTTGCATCCTGTTTTCCATCCCAATTCAAATAAATTGAAAATTTAAGATGGCAAATATCCTATTTAATATATAAAATGTTATATATATATACAGGTTCTGAGCCCGATCCGTGACATATACTTTCTTATAATGAAATTAACTTTGCAATTTTGCATCCTGTTTTCCATCCCAATTCAAATAAATTGAAAATTTAAGATGGCAAATATCCTATTTAATATATAAAATGTTATAAATAAATATATACA